TGTGTGTGTGTGTGTGTGAGCAGTCAGGACGTGGAGGATCACAGGAGTGTGTGAGGTTAGGCTCACAAACGGTTGAACATGTGAATTAGGACTCTGGGCTTCACACAAGGAACGGGGTGGTGTGGTTTTCATCCAGACGTCTACTTACTGACAGCGGAGATGGCCGCAGAGCGTTGGAGCTCCAGGCCTGAGTGCAGTTGGCTTGCCCACCACCAGGAGCCTGTCCTGGGGCAGGGGGCTGGGCTTGGCCCGGGGCAGGGGCTAGTGCTAAGGAAGCAACGCCGGGGCCTGGGGCTTGATTTGGGCCCGGACAAGGCTGGGGGCCCTGTGGTGTATGGGTGTGGAGGGAGGAGGTCCAGGAGGAACAATAGGGACCCAAAGGATGGAGCAAAGAATTGTGGGAGATTGAAAGAGACGGTGAGGGAAGGAAGCAAGGAAAGGTCCGAGGTACAAGTAGAAAGAGGTACATCAGAGTCAGATTAAAGCAGCTACAAGGAGACGGGAAACAAGATAAACTAGAAGCAAATATAATCAAATGATGGGATTAGCTGTTTAAAGTCTCTACAAAGACACAACAAGTTGCAGTTACATTTCAGCTGTGGAAAAATGTGATTATTTAAACAAGGAAAGAACATCAATAATCGATCGCCTTGCTTCTTTAAGAAAATACAATTAAAGAAAAGACCTAAAAACAAACATTTGGAAGAATCTGTAGAATCTGTTGGTGTCTGTGTTCACCTGTGTGAAGATGAGGGTCTCTGAGTTGCGGCTGTCCAGGCTGAGGACGAAGCGGATGGACTGAAAGAGTTCCTGGATGCTGGTGCGAAACTGCTCCTCCTCCATACCGCAAGTTGCCCGAGAGTAGAGGATCCGAGACTGGACGATGAACTTGAACAGATACTCCAGAGCCTGAGGGTCCATGTTTGTTTGTGTTTGTGAAACAGAGAAAGAAAGAAACAGAGTGAGAGACAGAAACAATGTAACTTACAGTAGAAATATTTTATTTACATCCCCAACTTCAGTATTTCTTGTATCATTTCATTCCAGAAAGTCACAAAATCTAAATTTGAAAATGTAACTGAACAATTTAATGTATACCTATTAAATAAAATGTTTTGAATCATTTTGGAAAGAGAATCCCACACACTGCTCCTTTAACTGTTTTTGTAACTTACTCATGGCTGTCAGCAGTTGGTTTGTTCATATTTAACAGGGTATGGCCCAATGGGACACCCCATGACTACAATTCCACTACTGCTACTTGTTACTTTGATCATGAAGGTCATGCTACAGTATAGAGTATGTAGGCTACGATATTATATAGGATTGAGTATTAAGTTTAGAGAATATTATAGATCCAAGACGAAACCGACAGAAGGGTGGGACTGAGAGAAGAAGGTGCAATTACACATCAGTCTGCTACTTCAGCACCACGGACAGCGCCGAGGATTTCAGGCTTTTAGAGCAGAGTTCGGGGCCATAGATTCTAACTTGCACAAACCTCAGTCAGATAAAGGATCAATAAGTCAGGCAGACTAGACTAACATATTGAACTGAACAACCCCTCTGCCCTTGCTCTCTCTCTACTACTGGGGGATAGAGAGGAGGGGTTGGCAGGTTAATAAGAGGGATAGCATCCAACCTCAACTGCGACTGTCAATAAAAGCGACTGCACTGCTGCATGAGTTTTAGATATGCAGGGTAATGTGAGTAGAAATACTTAGGTCTGAGGACCAGTGTGTAGGATTTAGTGGCATCTATCAGTGTAGTTGCAGTTTGAAACCCCCTCGAATCACCCTTCAGCTCCAAGCATGTGGGAGAAATTACAGTATGTATATTTATATATATTTATATTTTCAGGTGATCATACACAAATGAAAACATACCTATGCATATTAACTTCCATTTCTGCCAATAGATCCTCAGAGAGATCAATTATAAAGGGTGAAGTTAAGCTATCTGAAAACAGTTTAATATGCCAAAAGTCTTTAGACACAGTTGATATTTGTGTAATGTTCCACAGGATAAGAAGAGACATGGTCCTTCACTTCCTAAAAGGGTGAATGAGTTAATCGTTTTTAGACTGACAGATACAGACTAAAACAGACGGACTTGCGGACGTGACCACAGACAGGCTGGTAGAAGATGAATTTAAAAAAAACTCAGATCTGAACCCACAGCTGCAGCATGTGTCAAAACTATCCTCAATAATTCACACCGTCCACTTTCACATGACAGTGTGATCCATTTGAGACGGATGTTTGAGTCTGATGAATATTTTAACATGCTGAGCAGCATTTGTTGGCTTAATGTGGAACATTCTGTACATCTGCCTGAGATGGTGCATCTATTCTCAGCTCTACCTAGAACACTGATGCAATGATGAATACATGCTGGTCAGCTTTTTGTTAGTAGACTGAGCAAGGACATGCCGTGGGAGGAATTAAGGTGTAAAAATGTTGATCAATTTTGATTCAGGACTTTTACATAAAACAGTTCAGATAAATAATTTAAGAGATTTTGATCAGAATAATAACTAAAATCTCTGCATCTTCTTGTTTGTGAAAGCCAAAGGGAATTAAAAACAACTTTCTAGCAGAGGTAACCAGTGTTTTATTTAGCAAGTGGAGGTCAGATGTTTGCTGTTTGCTTCTTTTCAGGTCCCTACTCTCTTGCTTGCTCTGTTGATCAGTTGCTAGGTCCATAAATATTTTCCCACCCTTTGGGAGCTGCAGTTTGTGCCCTAGGAGTGGAGGTCAAGTGTTTGTGTTTGAAATGATGAACATGTGGTTTGTCTGTACGTGGTCGCGGCTATTGAAAATTCATGCTTCCTTACTAAATGATCCATATAAACCAGTTGTTCCCATCCCTTTTTCTTAATGGAGCCATTTTCCAGTGACATATTTTATAGGTATTTCAAATTCTATATAACAATAACGGCAGGACGTTTGTGTAAAATGAGGGGATTCGCATGAACATCAATCAGAGATGAGTTTTCCTGATATTTTCAGCCACTTTTCGTACAGTTATTTTAATAAATTTTTTATCAATCATATTGATTATTCGTCTTTTCTTCTCATTGTTCTATTTGCTCTGTTTATTTTAAAAATAGTTCTCTTACACTTAAAATCAGTAACAATGTCACTGACTTGACTAACTGATCTCATATGTAGTTTTTTGTATAAAGTAAAGTGCAATATCGGCGTAAGTATTAAACAAAAGTGATATAGTTAGTTATGTACACACAGTATGTTTTAACCAGCAGCCTTGAGTGGGAACAGCTCCTGTTGTTGCTGTTGTTTAAAATATTCAAACACTCTTTAGACGAGTCACAAGATGCTTTGAGGAGGTTTGTTTGGACACACAGTGTCAGTCAGTGGTTCTTACCCTCATTGCTTCCTGTATGTGGTCCTGTCTGACCACCTCTGCAGAGCGGTCCATGTACCACTTCAGACAGCGGATCAGCTCTCTGAAACACAACAGTAAACAGTACTCGATTATGACACATGACCCACACAGCAGGGTTTTCCTTTTACACATAGAGCACACAATCTGGACCACACACACACACATTGCATAACTTTTAAAGAGAGCATATTAGAGTCTAGTCTGTCTGTGCTTTGACAAGTAAACCAGCAGTCAGTCAGAGAGTCACTCACTTATAAGCCAACGCTCCTGCAAAGTGCTTCTGGATGTATGTGTCCATCACCGGCCTGAAGTGGTAATATTTACTGTCCCTGAGTAGGTTTATAATAAAAACCTGAGAAAGAGAGACAGAGAGACAGACAGACAAACAGAGAGAGACAGAGAGAGCTGTTACAGTGTTTCCTATTTAACACATTTGTCCACTCAAAAGTTACATTGTCAAAACTGAAAGCCACTGGCCACAATGACACATTTTGTTTGCAAAATGCCAGGGATGTCCCGATCCTCTTTAGTCCTTTTTTTATTATTCAGGCCTTCAGAAAGTACAGAACTGTGAATACCAGTACTCAGCTTTACTTATCTCTTTTATTTTTTTGCACATACTTACCAATGACTGGAACACCAGTGGTCCATATTTGTCAGTGTTGTCATCCAAGATGGAGAATAATGTGTCCAGAATGTCTTGGAGGAACTGTCAAACACACACACACACACACACACACACACACACGCACACACACTCAGAGATTACATTTATGTACTGTTATCAGGTATGACTGATAAAGATAAGCTTTGAAGAAAGGAATGACAGCTTCCTGTTTACACTGTGGTGTTGACAGACGTAGGGGATTTAGTTTTACTTCAGTTTTAGGGGTGGCTACCAACATGATACAAACACAATTTGCTCTCCTTGGTGTGAAATACTGGACGCCGGCTGCCTTTTCTAGCTGATTTGTCTAAAGTTCAGCTAAATGCTGTGCACGTCATGTAATGCACATTAATAAAAGTGGCTAGCTCGTACTATTTATTTGTACAAAAATGCAAATGATTCAGAAACGACAAAAAAAATGCACTTTCTTCTGTCACATTTCAAATGAAATATCTCACGTGTATTAGTAATTTGTTACAGAATTTGCTACTAATTCTTCTCTGACTAAACCTCACCTTCACTATCTCCTCTCCACTGACGTGCCGTAGCCGACCGAGAATGTCCATGACCCGGTCCGGATGGGCCTTCCACTTAAGCAGGGCCAGGAGGTCCACTGGAAGACAGCAACAATGTCAACTACCAGCAAAGACACAAGCTAAAATGTGGCATGACATGGTGAATATATAAGTGGAGACAGAATCAGAGCATCTAACAGAGCTAGAGCTTTACTCGCTTCTTAGCTGAACAATGGGACATATGTGGGCTTTTCTTGTCCTTATTGCTAGTGTTTGAAATGTTAAGTATTGTAGCTTCGCCATAGCAACTACTTGATGATAATAACTCCGCTGTATCACTAAGATGCATATTTAAGTTTAATTTACATTATCCATGAGTGCTCTGCATGCATCCACGCCTGAATAAACATTAGGCTTTAAGTCTTTTCACACTGGCTGTCTCCGGACAGACCCCCTATAAAAACATGTAAAAATAATCATCATCGGCGGAGTACCGTTCTGAGTGAGCTTCGTGGAGGAGAGCTGTGTGGAGATCCAGAACGTCTCCTTGGTGCTGCGCTGGAAGATGAGGCTGGATGGGATGCTGGGGCAGCTGTTGAAGTCTTCCTTACAGCAGGGCAGGCCCAGGTAGAGGGCGTGATTACTGAAGGTTGTGTTCTCATCACACTGAGACCAAGAGGAGGAAAATAAATATCAGGAAGAAATGTGGCTTGCTGACACCTGTAAAAATCCACCTATCTTCTGCTAGGACAAAGGGTGGTGAGTCACTTTGTGATAAGAGTCTGTGATCAGTAGCAAGAAAACAAGAAGTGAGTGAACTGACATAAAGATGTGAGTCTTTGAGTCAGTTCACTCCCTTCCTATAGTTCCTGCTCTTCCTGTAGTTCCTGCAGTAAAGCAACAATCATGCCTCACCTTGTAAACATAGAGTTCATGGCTCTCGTCTGAAAGAGTGGTTCCATCCTCCCTCATCAGAGGAGTGAAAGCGAAACCAAACAGCTTCTTCTCTCCTTTGTCTTTAGCTGTAGAGTGCAAACGAGAGCGAGAGACAAAGACACAAAATTAGAGTGAAAGAGACACAGAAGAAGTTTAGAGTGAGGTAACCCTGACCTTTTGTTTCCATTCCGTGACTTGGTAAATAAGGTGTGAATTTTGGACATGTAAGCAGATGGAAACGATAGGAAATCAGATGAATGATAATAAATAGCTTATTTGGTTGACATTTTACTGTAGTTGACATTAATAAAACTACTTTTACATATTGTTTATTTCTCTGCACAGATGTAATCTGTAAGTCCTGCTTCTCACATTAATCTTCTTTTCACTGACATAATTCATTTATTGGCAAACTCTGTGTATACAAAAGTTTTTATTAAACTCATCTATTATCACAAACACTACTAATAACAGAGAGTTACTCACTGGAGCAGTGTCTGAACTCGAAGCGTAGGTGGGACCCTCTAAAGCGGTCGATGGGAATCGGCAGTTTGATCACTTCACTCCATCGAGGGCTGTTGTTATGGTAGAGCACGAAGGAGCGGTGCTCCGGCACGTTGGGCTCACCTGAACCCAGACTGATGCAGTCCTGCAGAGGGAGGCAGAGAGACACACAGAGAGAGGGATGTGAACATCCAGCCCTGAGGAAAACTGCATGACACAGTGTATGTTTCACACATACATTAACTGTCTCTGACAGGAATACGTGTTCATCTTATGTCTGCCACTATAACATTTTACACTGTTTAATTAGAGGACAATTTATTGACACCAAAAAGACAGACAGCTAGGATTATTCAAGTTGAATATGAGAAAATTGTCAAATGGGAAAATACAGAACAGGTGGGTTGGTTATAAATTTATACAAATAGTTTGATTTGGTGCAGAAGACTCGTCTGGTGTTTTATGCTACTGAGTAAGTAAATGCATCTGTCATCATTATTGTTTATGTCAAGGAAGTCATTAAATGATGTTTTATGCAAATCTTTATTTTAAGATACGTCAATTAGTAACTGCCTGTCAGCTTGTGGATACTGTGGAATAAGTTGGCAGTAGCAATGAACGGCTGTCCGCCATGTGGCTGTGCTGCTTGTAACATAACAGTAAGGACGGAAAACTCCCTTCAACTGACTGCAGAGCAAGATTAAATTAGCTGAATGCTCGATGCACTAATGTTCTGTATATGTATGTAAATGGTTCATTAGAGGTTGTTATTAGATTACAACTCTTATACAGATAATTTTCACTCCATGAGAAGATAGTTTGGCTGGTAACTGTTACAAAATGGGAACGAGGTTATGGATTTAACACTGACAGAAAGCTAAATGGGCAGCGGACACCACTGATAATTCCTTGAGTTTCCTGATATATGTTTTGTAAGTTCATTTAGGAACTGACCTAACCAGTCACTGGAATTTGATTTGCCCATATGGGTACTGATGTTTAACTTCATGTCTCCTCTGTAAATGTGAACAGGAACTGGACCAGATGAATCAGTGAAGCTTGAAGTGTACTGAGGGTTTATAATGAGGGTTCTATATATGGCAGCACTGCATCCCTACCTTCAGGATCTCTCCATCAGCATAGAGCACGTAGACAGTGACTTCAATGTTCTTCTGAACGCTCTTCCCTCCTCTCTCAAAGTCCCCTCGCTCCAGGGTCAGGTACAGGTCGTTACGGATGTCACCTGGTACCGGGATGGACACATAAAACCTTACAGTTAGTTCCACATTACAACTGAGAAATGTTATGACTCAATCTAGTCCACTCTTCTTCTATGTGTAATATGCACGGCTTTTTGCAGTTCTTTTCATGTACAAATAACCGACAGCAACATACCAGTGATATTTACAGTGGGTGCAAACATTCACCTGCTTACCATACGTATATTTTTTGGTCTTGTCCAAATCTTAACCCTGAACCTCTCACGGCTCTATTTGGAATCCCACCACTTGCGACTTCCAATTTCCCTTTGATGAAAGGGGCGTGTTCTGGCCTTTACAACTCTATTAGCTAGATGCCTCATTTTATTTAGGTGGAAGCACGCTCGTCCTCTCTCCCACAATAGTGCGAGAGGCTCAAGGAGATCCTGAACCACATCAGACTTGAAAATAATCGATTTTCACTTAAAAGACTAAAGCAAACCTTTCCCATTATTATTTATTTATGTATTATGTATTTAGTTTTAATGATTTATTATTGCTGTCCACAATACTTGTGTAAAAACAATTTAAAGTTTTTAGAAGAGGGTAACACTTCCTATTGAGGTATACATATTCACCATTTACTAGTTGCTTATTAGCATGCATATTGGTAGCACATCGACTCCTTTCTTTATTAGTCATTAAAAAGCACTTATTAATGCCTTACTCTGCATGATAACAGTCTAGAACTACTTGGCCATTAGTGTTCATAAATATTATTATTTGCTCAGTAAGACTTTGAACTATTTAACTTGTATTAAACTTGAATTGAAATCGTTTACATTGAATTTTACATTATCATTAACTTAACTGAGAAGAGAAATGTTATGATGCTAAAATCTGAATATAAGAAAGACAAACAAATACGCAGATTGCTGAAAGATTAAAAAACATGTTCAGCAATTCCAGATGCACAAACATGCAGCCTCCCACACAGCTTGCATTGTGTCTTATATCACTGGATATTCTCTGTACAAACACACACACATTATGTCCACAAACACATATTTCTCACACACATTCAAAGCTGAATACCTCTGACACACACAAGACTGATCACCTGTGTTAACGTGTGTGGAGTCATTTATCATGTCAGCTTGTCCTTATAGAGGAGATGCCACCCTTAATGTATCAAGATGGGAGTTAAATACTCACTCCATCACTGCCCGAGGGGAGGCTATATGTGTGTGTGACATGCATGGTTAATGTATGTGAGAGAGATGTGAAAGACATATGGTGTATGTGTGTGTAGGTGTTTCCTCGTCGGCCCGTTTTGAAGGGCGGTTTGAGGGTAAATCTCTTTGGTCATTGAAAAAGGATTTCTCTCTTGTGTTTTCTACCATTATCAGTTACCAGAGCATTATTAGTCACGTGGTATGGTCAAGTTTTAATTGGACAATTTTTACAATTAAAATCAGATCCAAAGGCTGTTGACAGTGAGATGGATTATCCAGAGTAGGCAGGACATTATGTATGATCAAATAAATCCCATTTATCTCCATTATATTGGGCTTGCATTAGACGTTTCAGAGCCAGATAAAAAGAACTATATGCACGGCCTGACACCACAAGAGAAGGTGAGAAATTGTGTGTGTTTTGGTGGATCGAACCTTTTAACACATGTGGACCAAATATGTAAGACTCCCTCTGGTACTCAAGCAGGTGGCACTTTTGAATGCTTGTTTGTACACTGACACAACATTGTCTGTGTGACAGGATTCTCATCAGTCTGTGTTTATACTACATCTAATATGTAGCTACTGACTATGTCCTCTGAACCTGTACAGAGGACATTAAAAAGGGTGAAACAGAAAATACAGAGAGAAGAGAAAGAAGAAAAACTGAAGCTTTTTGGAGGTCAGCATAGTTAGAAAAAATATTACCTCATAAAAAGTCAAATTACTTTTAGCAAGAGGAGCACTCTGACTATTGATGGGTGATAAAATAATACCCCAGTATTTCAGGGTATTTCTGTGACAATACTCTTGACGATATAACAAAACACTGAGAAATAGTTCTGTTCAGCTCTCCTCAGTGCTTCTTCTTGTGGTGGTGAGATAAGTTTGTTGTATTTTCCATTCTGTTGTTACAGTCTTCTTGCACTTTTTACACACTCTTGTACATCTTTTGTAACCACACTACTCAAGTAGCTCCTCTTTTTGGTGCTAACTCTTCCACTGTGGAGCCGGGTGCCATGCAGTCTTGTATTTAAAGAACTGACAAACTAAAGTGCTCTGACACCTCCTCACAGCGTCATTCAGACCTCCTAAATCTGTGTAAGAAATACAAACTGCTGGTTCTCTGTAACAGCTCGTGTGTTACTGAACAACTACTGGAGAGTGCAGTTCTGTTTAAGAGAAGTTACGTTCAGTGGACACAGACACTAAACTGATGCTTTGCATGTAAATCCAGCCAGGACCTCAGTATGATATACGGTCTCATTCCCCCAACGCTGCAGCATCCACACACACACACACACACCCACACACACATCTCTCTGGTAGATGAAATGTTTCAGGGTCTTAATCAGGTTGCAGCCAATTGGAAACATGGACGTTAATCTCCTTTCTAAATGGGAAAACAAATTTTCTTTCAAACATAAACATAAAGTAAAAAATGTAAATACTGTGTAACAGGAAACAATTTTCCCTCTCTGGTTAATGGAATTAAAAATTACATCTCTATTAGTTCTACAGTGGGAAGAGAAAAGCTGTCAAAAGGTAAGGGTCTGTATGTCTGTTGGTGATTTATTTAAAGGCCTAAAGGCTTTACTTTATTGTTGTTGGTGATTTGTAAATCTGCTGGTACTCTCTTAGATGTGTACTGTTGTACTAGAGATGTGTAATTCGGGAACAAACCAACGAGTCTGCTACCGTCTTTATTTTTTTATTCTTTTTTTATCAATTAATTGAAGACATAATAATATATAATCATATGTACCTATTTGTTAAATACAATCCAGAAACGTCTCACTTTGGCAATTACCGACCCAAGCATGGTGAGACTTGTGGAATAGTGTTTGATTGTCGTTTAAAGGTCCAGTGTGGAGCATCCAGGGGGATCTACTGACAGGAATTCATATGTATGTTTTCATTATTGTATAATCACCTGAATATAGGAATAGTGTGTTTTCGTGACCTTAGAATGAGCTGTTTTCATCTATAGATGCCACAGGTAGTCTTCCATGTTTCTACAGTAGCCCAGAGTGGACAAACCAAACACTGGCTGTAAGTAGGGCCTTAAGCGTTTCACAGCCACAATAGATTCTCCCTCACGGTTGGAAGACGAGCAGTATTCAGTTTGTTGCAATCTGCAACGTCAACACTAGATGCCACTAAATGCTACACACTGGTCTGTTAATTGTATTAATAATAGTAACATTTAATAACATTTCCAACAAACAAATAAAGGCAATGTAATAGTTAATACTTCTGATGCAGATATACCTGAAGAAGCAACCAGTTTAAAGGTGATTTGTGGTATTTTTTTAACCAGGGAGAAAATAGCTGATGGCATTTTGATTAATTAATTACCATTTAAAGGCACAACTACAGTAACTAATGTGTGTGAAGGTCCATCTCATTAATCCAGGTACATGAAGAGAAAATGAATCCAGTATACTCTGTCATATTTACTAATCCAAAAGGCCTTTCTAGTTCTGAACTGAAACTTTTTCAAGTCTACAATGTTGGAATAAATATATTTTATGCTATCTAATAATATAAATGATAACATATTTGCTGACTATACACCTTTACTTTAAGGTGCAGTCAGTGAATATTACAGTCCGCAGAGAGTCATTGCTTCCCCATCCCATAAATAAATGAATGAACTGGACACCTCTTTGTGCTGTGACATGTGTACACACGTGTACATGTGGCTGACTCACCAGGCATGATGACATCAGGGAAGCCCAGTTTGCGAGTGATGGCCACCCCCCTGCTGAAAATGAGCGGGTTCTCTCTGCGGACCTGCTCCATGTCACCCCTCAGCAGCTGCAGAGAGATGATCAGACCTGCAGGGAGAAGTAGAGAAGGAAGGAGGGAGAGCAATAAGTAGGTTGATAAGCAAAACAAGATAAAGAGAGATTGTAGAGAGAGGTAAGGATGAAACCAGTGGAGAGGAGAGCAGTACGCAGGTAGAGGTGATAGGGGAATAAACTGAAACAAGCTAAACCTCATACCCACATTTAAAAGCCTGGTTACTGGTTCAGGTTTTCCAGATAATACTGTTTTTTTCTGCCAGCACTGTGTTTATGTTTCTATGTTGTATCAGAAACCTCTGAAGTGATGTGAGCTCTTAAACTGAAGGCACAGTGAGTACCGGAGCTATGTGGCTGCAAAGAAAAGCACATCTTCATTTTCTATAACAAAACATCGTAGTGTATGATGAATACAGTTCAACGGTTTCTCAAGAGGGATGTTAAATTAATGAAAATAACCAAAATGTAAGAGTGTGAGTGTGTCTCCAGCCTCCTTCAATAAGGACTACAGCTACATTTCTAAAAGATAAACTTTTGGGGACGCCGGAGTTCACAGGAGGCTGAGGTTCCCTGCAGTGACACTAATTAAGATGATTTTCCAGCTGATGTCAAGTGATGACATGCATGTGTCAGTCAGAGTGCACTGGACAAGCCGCTCCTGGGAGGTCTGTGTGTTTGTTTTGTAACTGAGTTCTTCTGAGTTCATGTGTCTAACGAAGTTTATTGGTGTATAGAAAACTGTTGAGTGTTTTGTGTGTCTGTGTGAGTGACGCTCTGTCCTTACTAATGCAGTAACATGAGTCACTGATGCCCCTGGACAAACATCTGTGCTATAACAGAGGTAACAAGGTGACTTACAGAAGCGAAATATGGAAAAGGCAGAGAGCAAAGACACACAGACTGTTGTTAATGTTAGCACAGAGAAAACAGCTGATAGCATTCGGATTAATTGATTTGGTTTTAATGTACATCTGCAGGCAGCCACCTTTAACATCTTTAACATTAATATAACAGCAAACAACTATTTGGTAGGTAAAGATATAGTGGACTGAAAACTACACTGGTGAATTTAATTATTAAAATTAAAGATTTATTACAACCAAACCAGAAGGTGGTTGTTGTTGGAACAGTAGAAAGACTAACAAAGATGGTTTTGGTGAATTTTATTTTGTTTCTGTCCACTTTGAATGAAGTTTTCTAGGTGGCAGGACCATTTTAGGAGGTGTATAGTGCCCATAGAATATGGTAAATGGACCTTTTACACTACGTGCCATATTCA